TCCTGGCTGGGCTTTGAGGTGAGGAGGGAAAGCAGCCAGGGCTGCAGCCTGAATACAGGGCTGCAGAAATATCCACAGATGCCCTCAAAGTTAGGACGAGTACAAACTGTTCCTGGACCGATGTTCACTTTTTGCCTTTAAACGGACTGGGTCTCTTAGTAGGGTCCTGATTTCCAAAGGTCAACATTCTTTTCTCACAGGCCTAGGAACAGGAACAACTCCAAGGACGCAAGTTTTTGGGGGGAGAATCAGGGGCGCTAGTATGCTCCACAGCAGTGGTCCTCAACCTGGCTGATGCTGCAGCTCTTTCATACAGTTCCTCATAAAATTATTTTGTTGCTACTTTATAACTGTAATTTTGCTGCTGTTATGGATCATAATGCAAATATATGATATGCAGAGAATCTGAAGTGGGACCACTATGGAAGGGTGATTTGATCTCCTAGTTTACAACAACAAAGGGTCTCTACCTTCAGGTTGAAAACTTCTCCTATGCAGGGTGGAAACCACATACTAGAATCCATACTCTAGTATCTGTCTCAAATTGCTGAGAGTTTTGTCCTTTCAAACCAAGCGGGTCAGTGTGTGTAGTCATCCCTGCTCTGCACTTAGAGCCAGGAGACAGCCCTGTAGGCCTCCTGAGGCATTTGTCTTCTCCAGATACCACACAGGCTCCCTCTCTTCTCTGTGTACTGGTAGGTCCTATGCAGGTACCAACACCTCTGGAACATCAAGCTGCAGCTGCATCCTGCTTTCCTCGGTGGGATCATGAAAGACAGCGGTAGGCCAGAAGAAACCCTCCCAGATGGGCAAGGAGGGTTGTATTCTGTGACCTAAGGGGCCTGTCCTACACTGGGTATGCAGAGCTCAGACATCCTAAGCTAGAAGTTTGCCCTCTATTTAAGGGTTCCCCAAGCCTAAGACCTTCATATGCTCTCTCAAAGTTATCCAACTCTCTACTAACAGGAAATAAACCGCTAGCTACGGTTCCCCGAAAAGGCCAATACATGAACAATGAGATGCCTCTCCTGGGGCAACACTTCCAGGTTCCCATCAACTTACCCAAGGACTTCTTCGGTGTGATTGTTAAGAAAGGTGAGGAGGGGTTTGGAGTGATGGCTCAGCAGTTAAGAGCACTGCTTGCTCTTCCAGAGGACCCAGTTTGATTCCCAGCACCCACATGGTGGCTCACAACTCTCTATAACACCAGAATCAGAGGAAATAGAAATGAAATAAATAGGTAAATAAGTAAGTAAATAAATAAAAGAGTCAGAGGAGGTTGGCAGATCTAGTGGAAAACAGAATAGTCAGGGCTTTCTTAGGAGATCCACCCAGTATCTGCTCATCAAAAGTGAGGAATGGGCAGAAACAAGGGCTGAGCTTATTAAACCCATATGAGAGACTGGGATAAAAGACTGCAGGTGACTGGGCCCTGGGGCTTGTGTGAGAGTGATGTCAGAAGTAAGGATGAGCTGATCCTCTATCAGGAGATGAAGAATCAGAATCTTAGGTCTATGTGCCTGTGCCCCGCAGGAAGTCTAAATGCCATGCGCTTCCTCACTGCTGTGAGCATGGAGCAACCAGAGGTGCTGGAGAAGGTGTCCAGAGAGCTGTGGATGCGTATTTGGTCGCGAGTAAGAGCTGGACTTTGAAGCGTGGCGGGAAGGGGCAGTTATTTAGATGACATTCTGACCCATTTCAGGGGATTTTTCAGAGGCAGAATCCTGCTGCCCTAACCAGATCTCTGCCATCTCCTTCTTGCTAAATGTTCTCTTCTCAGGATGAAGACATCACAGAGGCCCAGAGCATCCTGGCTGTGAGTGTTCTGGACTGGACCACCCCATGCTAATGTCACGGGGAATCTGAGAACATAAAAGGATCTTAGTGACCTAGAAAGAAAAGTCTGTGTCTGGGGGAAAAATTACTATGAAGTTGGAACTAAGAGGAGTCTCTGAAGATTTTCCATGGGAAAGGGTTGTAGCTCAGCTGTGGAGTGCATGCTTAATAGACCTGAGGCTGGAGTTCAATCCCTAGCAACAACGACAATGTCTACTGTGGACAATACATGTAGATTATGGAATTGGTGAGAGAAATAAAATAGTCAGAACCATAGAGAGGACCAGGTTGGGAAGGATGGAGCTTCCATCCACAGGTCTCCAGAGACTCCCAATGCAAACGTCACTAATCTATGACTACTACCAAGGGGAAGACTTTACACAGCCAGAGAGATAACGGACAAGTGAGAATTAAACAGATATCAGTGAGAAATAAATGGAAAGGGCTGAAATATGGAAGTGCACGCCATATGGGGATGGGACTTTCAAAGTCAGATGTCCTGTAGGATGAAGTCAAGAAACTCGAAATGTCCTTTTCCTCCTGTATATGGATGATTGTTGACAGTTATTCTCTACACACGAGACATCGAATCACTCCTACATTAGATATGCAAAGAATGGCTACTTTATCCTCCAGTGTCTGTGTCTAGTTACTAAAAACATATATGTGTGCATGTATGATTTTAGCATGCTTGTATTTAATATTTAACAAATCTCTGTAACAACCCACTTCTCTCAATGACTTATCCACTACTCTGTTGCTCAACAACTTTCTCATTGAACTGTAGAAGACAGAGCTTATAGGTCAAGATGTAGCCTCTCAACGTGGGCTATACACTGACATCACCAGGAGAGACCCGTGTCACCCCCAGAAAGACAGATGTCACCATCTGGGGAATAGCTCTTCCTTGTCTCCCTAGGCTGCAGAGAAGGCAGGAATGTCCACAGAGCAAGCCCAACGCTTTCTGGAGAAAATCTCCACAGCACAGGTGAAGAACAAGCTCAAGGAGACCACTGATGCGGCCTGCAGTTATGGGGTGAGTAACTCCAAGTGTATCCCCATTTCCAGCCTGAAGGTAGAGAAGGAATGTCAACATGGGACTCATGCTCCCCATTCTAAGGTGTCCTCAGCTTGTCTGCAGCACCTCATCTGCTCCCTGCCTCCCATAAGCCTAGTCAAGGAAGGAAGGAGGTAGATGGTGGTTTTTAATAATAAGAAGCTATGTGCCACCGAAGTTGAGCAGAGAAGATGCCTGAGGCCGACAAGCCCCTTAGCAAGCATTTTATCTGCTTTGTTCTGTGTTCCCAGCACATACATCCTCAGCCTATTAAGCACCTGCTCTATCACCTTCCTTCCTACTCTGTTTTCTCCAGGCCTTTGGTCTGCCCACCACTGTTGCCCACATAGATGGTAAAACCTACATGTTATTTGGTTCTGACCGCATGGAGTTGCTAGCTTACCTGCTGGGTAAGTTCAGGTTTCCATTCTCTTGAGCTTTTGACACAAGCCCAACACAATGATATCCGGAGACAAGAACAACAACAGGTGTTGCTAGTATTCCCAACAAGGAAGACATACAGTTGTTCTGATCAGGGTTACTTGGGGGTCAGAAGTCTTCCCCATAGGGGAAAGGGAAGCATCCTACACGTTGAAGTCTAACAGGTCCTGCAAGGCCCTAGGGCTTTTTGGGACTGTCTCCTGCTGCTAACATGTCTGAGAACCATATGTACACTTCTGTGATTTTCTTTATCTAGGAGAGAAGTGGATGGGCCCTGTGCCTACAACCCAATATGCCAGACTTTAAGATTGCCTTAAGAAGTGAACTTCAAGTTCTCCATTTGACAAAGTTGAATTCCGTGACCCTGTGGTCTGAGGCAGGAGTCTGCCTTGGCTATGGCTGCCTTTACCTCTGTGCCTCACAAGTGCCTTTTGGAAAGCCTTACATTCTGCATTCCCATAAAATAAACAAGACATTTCTGGGTCTGCATCTACCTGGCCAGTGTTCCTGTATCATGACCTGTGATCATATGCTGCCCACGCCATAGGCTGGGCAAGAAGAACTCTTCCTGGATTCTCAGCGCACCCGACTCTACTAGAGCACAGTGGGGCTACTGTGGGGTAGATGCAGGAGACAGTCTTCCCTTCCTCTTTCCCAAAAAGCCTACATGTCTATCAGAGAAAGAAGACTAAACACAATAGACTTAGCAGTGAATCAGCTTAGCATTTAGCTGTCTCTGACCACCCAGGGGCACTGGGAGAGGAGTAAGGCCAGGGAACCTGTAAAAGTGGACACGGGGGCAGGAGGGGGAGCTACAACTGTCCAGCTGAGCTCAGTTATTTACTGTGAGTCCAGCTACACACGCCAGTAGCACTAGAACTATGCAGTCTCTGGTCTTGCTCTCATGACCTATAGACATTGTTTAATCTTTTTATTTTACTTCTTTTTGCTTTCTTGTTGTTGCTGTTGTTGTTTTTAGATAGGTTTTTCTATGTAGCTCTCGGTGTCCTGGAACTTCCTCTGTAACCAAGCTTACCTTGAGCTCAAACATAGACCTGTCTCTGCCTCCTGATTGTTAGACTAAAGGTGTGTGCCACCACAACCTACCTCAAGCTGTTTAAGCATTCATAATTCCCTGAAATGCTGAGAACAAGCCAGACCTCTGTGCCCGGTCTGGTTCATTCTAAGTAACTGCAGCTTTTGCATTCATCTTTCAAACTGACCAGTTATTCACCTAAATCCCCACATGTGTTAATTCTATACTGTTCAGGAATCAGAAATGTCTGCATTTTGATGTCATACTAACTTATGTGTGAAGACTGTTCCAATGCTGGGCCCACCTTCGGTCACCTGATGGGAACCAAGGACAGCTTTAAATCAGCAAAACCTTTTTCCAGCTTCTCCTTGCTCTCTCGCTCTGGTTTTCTCATTTTATATCCTATTTTCTCCCTACAGAACCTGCCACTTTCATCTTCCTCTCCCTTTTTTTCTTTTCTGTTTTTTGTTTTTGTTTTTTATTTATATTATCATTGAGCTCTACATTTTTCTCTGCTCCCCTCCCTGCCTCTTTCCTCACCTGCAACCCTCTGCCACGGTCCCCATGTTCAAAAGTTACTCAGGATATCTTGTCATTTTCTACTTCCCATGTAGATTAGATCTATGTATGTCTCAGTGTCCTCATTGCTGCCTAATTGTCTGGGATTGTGATTTCTAGGCTGGTTTTCTTTGCTTTATGTTTAAAAACCACTTATGAGTGAGTACATGTGATAATTGTCTTTCTGTGTCTAGGTAACCTCAGTCAAAAGGATGTTTTTTAGCTCTATCCATTTTCCTGCATAATTTTTTTCTGCTGTGTAGTACTCCATTGTGTAATGTACCATATTTTTCTTATCTAGTTTTCAGTTGAGGAGCATTTAGGTTGTTTCCAGGTTCCGGTTATGACAAACAGTGCTCCTCTGAACATAGTTGAGAACATGTCTTTGTGGCATGATTGAGCATCTTTGGATATATACCCCAAAGTGGTATTGCTGATTCTTGAGGAAGGTTGTTTCCTAATTTTCTGAGAAATAGCCACACTGACATCAAAAGTGGTTGTAATATCTTGCATTCCCACCAGCAATGCAAAAGTGTTCCCTTTACTCCACATTTTCTCCAGAATAAGTTGTCATCAGTGTTTTTGATCTTGGCCATTCTTACAGGTGTAAGATAGAATCTCAGAGTTGTTTTGATTTGTATATCTCTAATGACTAAGGATGTTGAACATTTCTTTGAGTATCTTTCAGCCATTTGGGATTTCACTGTTGAGAGTTCTCTGTTTAGGTCTGTACTCCATTTTTTTATTTGATTATTTGTTCTTTTAATGACTATTTTCTTGAGTTCGTTGTATATTTTGGAGATTAGACCTCTGTCTGATGTGGAGTTAGTGAAGATCTTTTCCCATTATGTAGGCTGTTGTTTTGACTTGTTGACCGTATCCTTTGCTTTACAGAAACTTTTCAGTTTCAGGAGATACCATTTATTTATTGTTTCTCTCAGTATCAGTGCTGCTGGGGTTATAGTTAGAAAGTGGCCTCTTGTGCCAATGCGTTCAGTGTACTTCCCACTTTCACTTCTATAAGTTTCCGTGTAGCTGGCTTTATGTTGAGGTCTTTGATCTATTTGGACTTGAGTTTTGTGCATGGTGATAGATATGGGTCTATTTTCATTCTTCTACATGTTGATATCCAGTTATGCCAGCATGATTTGTTTTAACATATATAACATATAACATATTTATATGCTTTCTTTTTTCCATTTGATAATTCTTGCTTCTTTGTCAAAAATCAGGTGTTCAAAAGTGTATGGTTTAATATTGAGTCTTTGGTTTGGTTCCATTGATTCACCTGTCTATTCTTATGCCAATGCCAGACGATTTTCAGTATTATAGCTTTGAGTAGAGTTTGAAGTCAGGGATTCAGCCTCCAGAAGATCTTTCATTGTACAGGATTGTTTTGGCTATCCTGGGTTTTTTGCTTTGCCATTTGAAGCTGAGTACCTTACTTTCGAGGTCTGTGAAGAATTTTTCTGTGATTTTGATGGATAGTACATTGAATCTGTAGATTGCTTTTGGTAATATTGCCATTTTACTATGTTAATTCTTTCTACCGAAGAGCATGGGAGATCTTTCCACTTTCTGGCGTCTTCTTCAATTTCCTTCTTCAAAGATTTAAAGTTCTTGTCATACAGGTCTTCCACTTGTTTGGTTAGAGTTTCTCTGAGATATTTTATGCTATTTGTGGCTATTGTGAAGGTTATTGTTTTTTTTGATTTCTTCCCCAGCCCTTTTATCATCTGTGTACAGGAGGGCTACAGATTTTTTGTCAGTTAATCTTGTATCATGCTACATTACTGAAAGTGTTTATGAATCGTAGAAGTTCCTTGGTAGAATTTTGGGGATTTCTTATGTAAACTATTAAATAATCATCAAACAGTGAGAGACTGACTTCTTCTTTTCCAATTTGTATCCCCTTCATTTCCTTTTGGTGTCTTATTGCTCTAGCTAGGACCTCAAGAACTATATTTAATAGATATGGAGAGTGTGGACAACCTTGTCTTGTTCCTGATTTCAGTGGAATTGCTGATAGTTTCTCTCCATTTAGTTTGATGTTGACTGTTGGCTTGCTGTATATTGCCTTTATTATGTTTAGGTATGTTCCTTGTATCCCTTCTCTCTCCAAGACCTTTATCATAAAGGCATGTTGTATTATGTCAAAGCTTTTTAGGCACCTAATGAGATGATCATGTGGTTTTTATATTTCAGCTTGTCTATTTGGTGAATTACGTTGACAGATTTTCGTATGACCATCCCTGCATCTCTGGGATGAAACCGAATTGATCATGGTGGATGATGGTTCTAATGTGTTCTTGGATTTAATTTGCCAGTATTTTATTTAGTATTTTTGCATCAATGTTCATGAGTGAGATTGGTCTGTAATTTTCTTTCTAGTAGTGTCTTTCTATGGCTTGGGTATCAGGGTAATTGTAGCCTCATAAAAAGAGTTTGGCAAATTCCTTATATTTCTATTGTGTGGAATAATTTGAGGAGTATTGGTATTAGTCCTTCTTTGAAAGTCTTGTAGAATTCTAATCTGAAACCATCTGGACCTGGGCTTTTTTTGGTTGGGAGACTTTTGATGATTGTTTCTATATCTTCAGCAGTTATAGGTCTGTTTAATTTGCTTATCTGGTCTTGATGTAATTTTTGTAAGTGATATTTATCCAGAAAGTTGTCCATTTTCTTTAAGTTTTCCAATTTTGTGTAGTACAGATTTTTGAAATATGACCTGATGATTCTCTGTATTTCCTCCGTGTCTGTTGTCATGTTCCCTTTTCATTTCTGATTTTGTTAATTTGGATATTCTCTCTCTGACTTTTGGTTACTTTGGATAAACATTTGTCTATTTTGTTGAATTTCTCAAAGAACCAACTATTTGTTTCATTGATTCTTTGTATTGTTTTCTTTGTTTCTATTTTGTTGATTTCAGCTCTCATTTTGATTATTTCCAGCTGTCTGGTCTTCTTAGGTGAGTTTGCTTCTTTTTGTTCTAAAGTTTTCAAATGTTCTGTTAATTCACTAGTATGGGATTGTTTCCAGCTTCTTTATGTAGGCATTTAGTGCAATGGACTTTCCTCTTAACAGTGCATTGTTTCCCGTAAATTTGGGTATGTTGTGTCTTCATTTACATTGAATTTTAGAAAGTCTTTATTATCTCCCTTTATTTCTTTCTTGAATCATTGATGATTCAGGTGAGCATTGTTTAATATCAATATTTTTGTGGGTTTTCTGGAGTTAGTATTGCTGTTGACTTCTCGTTTTAAACCATGGTGAACTGTCAAAATACATTGGGTTATTCCAATTTATTTGTATTTGTTGAGGTTTGCTTTGCTCCTGAGTATGTGATCAGTTTTTGAAAAGGTTTCATGAGGTGCTGAGAAGAAGGTATATTCTTTTTTGTTTGGATGGAATATTTTATAAATGTCTGTTAAATCTATTTCAGTCATAACATCTGTTAGCTCCCTTATTCTTCTGTTAATTATTAGTCTGATTGACCTGTCCAGTGGGGAGAGTGGAGTATTGACGTCTCCCATTATTAGTGTGTGGGATTTAATAGATGGTTTAAGCTTTAGAAGTGTTTCTTTTACATATGAAGGTGCCCTTGTATTTGGGACATTTATGGTCAGTATTGGAATTTCCTCTTGATGGATTTTTACTGTGACTTATATGAAATGACCTTCTTTGTCTCTTTTGATTGATTTTAGCTTGAAGTCTGTTTTTTGTTAGATATTATGATAGGTACACCCGCTTGTTTCTTAGGTCCATTTGATTGGAAAAATTTTTCCCAACCCTTTATTCTGAGATGATGTCTGTCTTTGAGGTTGAGGTGTGTTTCTTGTATCCAGAAGAAAG